AACCTGGACCCCTGGCCTGCAGAGGCTGCGCGGGGCCGACAGGGCGCGACCGAACCCTGGACCAAGCCTGCGGGTCCTCTCTGCCCACTGACCCCGCCCAGGGAGGGTGTCTGCACCCGCGCACCCCAAAGTGGCCCCGTGGGCAAGTCTCTGCGCTGGGTGAATCGGCTCTTTGCCCGCGTCTCCTCCCGCCCAGGTCCCTCGGGCAACGGGCTGACTTAGAAATCGGATTCAGACGGGGCCGGCGCAGCGTCGTTTCCAACGGCAGCGAGAAGGCCACTGCAGACTGGAACCATGTGGTTCGAATAAAGTCAAGGTCTCCGGGCTTCCTTTCCTTGATCAGGGCGCACTGTTTATCAGCCCTAAAGGAAGCGCGAAGTATTTACCTGTTAATGAGCCTCATTCGCCAACAGATTTACTAACGTGGGATTCCCTTCCCTCCTCCTGGACACTGCTGGCCCCTCGGGCTCTGTGCTTTCGCTTTGGGCACCTGCCTGGCCTCTGGCAGCCCCAGAAACGGATGGGCATTCTTTTGTCCCCCCACCCAGCAACCCTGGATTCTCCCTGGCTGCACCAAGTTTCCCCCAGCTTGGAGGAGCCCCAGGCCCTGCAGCTTTCCGGGTACCACTTGTATCCTGAGGTTTCTGGGAGCCTTCCCTGTGGCCACCCCTGCGCTTCTACCGCTCCTCATGAGCCTGAGTGCTTGGGAGCAATAGATGCTGTAGAGCCAATTTGGGGAGGAGAGAGGGAGGCCCAGGCACCTGGGGACTGCAGCCCACGCTGGGTCTCCTTTTCTTTTGGAGACCCCCGCCCTCCCGAAGGCCACCCAGCTCTGGCTGCTTCACCTTTCCCAAGATCAGCTCACCAAGAGTGGAGAGCACAGTAGTCACACTCCCTCCCATCCAGGCCCCCTATGCATGGAGCTTACCTTCCTCAGCCTCCAACCCCTGGGCAGGGTTGGAACAGCCAAAGTCCCTGCCGTTCACCGCTCCTTTGAGGGTGATGGGGCGAAGCCTTCCCCCTAAACGCCTCGTAAACTGCCCAGGCCGAGCTGGGAGCCTGGCCGGCAGGTCAGGACGCCTTTTACTGCTCAGCTCTATTGCACACCATAAACCCGACCTCACAATGGAATTGCCCCGGAAATTCTCCTCTAGATTATAGAGTTTGGTTCTTCTTGCACAAAGCGCTTCCCATCACTTTCTGAGGGTCCAGGCGGCCCCAGTTCACCACACCCTCTCAGGGGGTCCTGGGAGCACAAAAGGAAGTGGAGGGCTCAGACCCTGATGCGAAGGAGCCCCAGCTCTGGCCTAGTGGATGACCCGGTGCGGGTGGGGAGGTGGGGGCTGTAGGTGCAGGTGGGGTCAGGGTGGTGTTCCCTGGAGGTACAGGGACCGTGGGGGGCAATATCCGGGGTACCCTCCATGGCAGAACAGGATGCTAGCTGTCTTGCTTGGGGAAAGGAGGGGATACATCAGGAAGGAAAGAAAACACAAATATTCCAAATAGTATCCATTTCTGGCAGGAAATAAAACCTCAGAAAGTTCAAGGAAGATGAAACAAACACAAAGGGGACTAGGAGATCAAAGAGGAGGAATTAGACTGCTTTAGACCAATAAATTGTTCCTCGAGTGACACAGCAAGATGCAAGGAGAAAGACCCCGGCCACAGAAGGCTGTCTGTCTAGACTCGCGTGGCTAAAGCAGCAATGGCGTTTCAAGTAGAATCTGCCCAGAGGGAGCTGACCCGACAGAGAGAGCGGGGAGCGATTTCGGGGAGTGCAGGCAGGAACGCAGTCCTGGCCAAGAGCTCTGAAAGTCCCCACCACAGGCTCTTCTCTGCCTGCGTTTGTCGTTTGTCTCGGTCTCGGGCAAGTCCAAACGGTCCCGGCAGGACACGCTGCCTTTCTGCCTGGGCCAGGCAGGATCCGGATACTTTCCTCGCAAGGCCCCAGCCTCTCTGGACCCATGTCAGCCAACGGGGCCAAGTCCCGCGGGTGCTGGAACCTCCCTTTCGTTTCTGGCTTCTCCCTCCCCTCCGGCCTCCAGTGGCAGCCTTTTAAAACGAAAAGGCCAGGCAGAGCCGGGCTTGCCAAAAGGCCTGTGTACCCGCGTGTTCTTGAGCCATTGGTTTCCTACATAGTTGGCTGAAAAGACACCATTGCCCTGGGTTATTCGTGATCATAGTCACAGAAATACTTCCTGACGCAGCCGAAACAGGCACGTGTAGACGGGGTTCTCCTTGCCCCGCTGTCCTTAGATAAAGACGCGGGCCTCAGCCGCCTTGGGGCTGGGTCCCTGTGTGCCAAGCAATCTGTGTTTCCCCGACTTCTTGTTATCGGATTGTCCTCAACATTTAAATCCAGCCAAGAATGTAAACGCAGCTCTCGGGCAGCGAGTGGAGCCTGCCAGAACTCTGCGGCTTCTCTAAAGAAACTGCGGCTGCGGTTTCTATCCGCGCCCTGCAAGCGACCCGGGCATCGGCTCTCCGTCCAGTAAGCAGCCCCCAGTCGTGGCAGGGGGACAGGTCCATCCCCAAGGAGTGCCCAGGAGCTGGGGCTGCCAGGGGATCTCGTCCAGGCGGCTTCCGGGGAAGCGGGTCCTGGGCAGGGCAGCCGAGCTGGGAGAGCCACTTCCCAGCCACCGGCAGGCCAAGGGCAAGAGAGGTCCTTTCCGCCTGGCAATGCAGGAGGCCTCTGAGATACCCGGGGCCTGCACCTACCTGGGCTCCGGGGCCTGGGGAGAGAAGCAGTGGCCACCGACCTGCTCCTTTGCCTTTTATCTGTAGCGACATGAACCGACCTTTCCAGCTGCTGTGCGATACCCGGCCACGGACAGCGCTTGGGAAGTTATAAAACCCTCCTCGCCATCAGCTGCTGCGAGACACCAGGTTATATAATGAAATGTAATGAAGGCGTGTGTCTGTAATGCCAACGTGTGTGTATAGACAGAGGAAGGGAAGGAGAGAGAGCACACGCGGGAGAGGGAGGAACACCCCGGAGAGATGTCAGCCAAAATCCAGTCCCCCGTTTTATAGCGTGTACAGCCGGCGATGCAGGCTGTAAACATTTTGTGGGCTTGGCAGAGACTCTTACAATCCAAATAAACGCGCCGGTGCCGTGTTCACAGGCTGGGGGTGCTTCTTCGGAGAGTCCTGTTTGCTTTCGCGTTTTCTCTGGGAAACCATGTTGCACCTGGGGCTGCTCCTAGCTCTCGGGGTGCCCCCTGGAAGGCTCCGGAGGGGCAGGTTCTCCCCGAGGGTGGGGGACCGGATGGGCCTAATGGTGTCCCCTCCCTCCTCCTGGCTCCTGAGCAGAGGATGCCAGAGCAGCCTCAGTATCTCCACTGTCCAGGAAATTCAGCGGCGAGAGAAAGCAGGAGCGGCTTTCGCGACGTGAGCGCCTATTTTGGAGCTAGGGTGTTATTTTAATTCTTTTAAACATCACCTTTATTTTAGAATAACCAAAGCAGTGCCTGGTCTGTCCCCAAGGATGCCCATTTCTAGGCAACTCAGCCGCCCGACCTACACTAGACAGACCAAGAATGTCTGTACCCCCCATTTCCAGCCGCTTAATTTTATTGTCACGAATTCAAGGCAGCCAAGTCCCCGGGTTCTGGCTCACCCGTGGGTGCTGACTCCTCGGGACCTTTGCCAGGGCGCAGCCTCTGGGGGTCTCCCGAGCCCCAGGACCTTTGGCCCGGTTGCGCCCTCTGCACACCCTCTCGGGGGGTCACCAGGTCCAGGGGGGCGGTAGGCCGTTAGTCCCGGTGTCTGTCCGCCGGTCAGCCGGGTTCTCCGAGCGCGCGCTACACCCAGGCGTGTCCGGGGCTGGAGAC